GCACATAACATTAATTTATTAAAAATCCACAGATGCACAAGTCAATTTAAACTGTCAACAATAGATAAACGTTAAGCGACATACCATAGGTGCTGTGGACTATAGATATTTAAAATACTATACATACGCCACAACATCAATCTATACTCTGGCCAATTGATAACAGTTTAAAAGAAATGCCACTATAGATTAATAAAGAGCAATTAATATTAATATAATTACGTCTTGTTTTCTCACCTCGACTACCTGTAGAAAGTAGCGTTCCAAAGTCTACCAGTATCATGAGCAGAGCAAAACCAATCTAAGAGGGATATCACTGCAGACAATTTGTTGTTTCAGTGGCTTCCAAATTAATTTCCATTTGCTTCCCATTCTCAGGGCCAAAACTAACTGCATAATGTTGCAAGATGAAAACATCAAAAGCATCCGTTGTTTCAGTAGCACCAATTCCTTCTAATTTGTTACGACAATCTATATAAACGGGCAAAAAAAGTAATCAATTACCATTTTTAAAGCAAGTATGTTAAGCTGAAATGTTGTTTAAAAGTTGTCTATTGAGGCAAGTTACAAATGTCTAAGAAATAGAATCTCTGGGAGCTCACATACATTTTGGAGTGTTATTGCTTGTACACAGATATTAACTAATTTTTAAACATTCTATCATCTTGAACAACTGCATACTAGTTCTGAATGTTTAGATAAAGCAGTAACCCTCCATCTGGTTTATGGTGTTTGACCATTCATTTACATTTTTGGGCTTTTCTATATATACAATTGAACTCTTATCGACATATTTTGTTAATGTATCTGTTCCGTTATTATTATTTTTATTATATTATTTATGGTTTATATTATTAAATTGTTTTCCTAATTTTCCTAAATTATCTGTGTCAATTCTGAAGTTTATAGAGTTTGGGTGTTTTTTATGTGTATCATTTCCCGGTCCAAAATTTCAGGTTCTTTGAAATTGAAATTATGCTAGTTATTTAACGTATGTTCTGATTATGCTGTTTTTTTTGTTTATGGTTTTTAAACTATATTGGTGTTCATATATAGTATTGCTCCGTTTGCCCAATGTATGTTTTATTGCAATCTAGGCAGTTTATTTTATACTTATATTATATTTGTGTTGTCAGTTTTTGGTAAATTAGTGAATGAAGTTTTAGATTTTTTTTAGATGTTTTATTTTGATATATTATACGGTTTTAAAATGTTTGATATTTTGTTATTAATTTCAGGCATGTACGGTAATAAGATATAATCGTTGTTTTTGATACAATTCCTCAAACACAAACCAAAATATAGAAATTCCTGAAATGAATAACAAAATCTCAAACATTTTGTTATTAATTTCAGGCATGTATGGCAATAAGATATATTGTTGTTTTTGATACAATCCTTTAAACACAAACCAAAATATAAAAATTCCTGAAATTAATAACAAAATCTCAAACATTTTAAAACCATGTAATATATTAATAACCGATAAAACATATATCTACAACAATTTAATAACATAAACCATAAATAATATAATAAAAATAATAATAACAGAACAGATACAACATTAACAAAATATGTT